CAGAACTAGAAGGTCGAATCGACTTTTCCTTATCAGCCATGTTAATTGTGATTTGTGGAAGTTCGTCATCATGAACAGCCGATCGATTCTTACAGAGATGCTTTGGTTTGGACTTAGCTATTCCGTTGGAGATCCTCTCGAATACCGAGACCCTTTGCAAAGTGGTCTTGGGGCAGCTACACGCTGATAATACTGTCCTGATAATCTTAGCGCACGGACAGTAAGGGTCCGCTTTTCGGGTACTTCTCTTTCGAGATTTGTTCGTACCTCCCGCCCGATTATTCAACTCATCGGTCAGATGACTGGAGCAACCTATCGGGTGTTGACACGACTCCCTTGGTATAACATTGTCATTGTCAGATGAATACGTTTCTTTTAGGGGATTTGCCGCTTTATTAACATTCTCAAGAGTCACGTGTTTAGAACTACACTTTTGGGAGCGCAGGATCTCAACAGGCTCCTGGTTTTGGATACACACCCCCAGGCGGGTGGAAACCGTTGTTTTCTTTTTATAAGAAAGTTTGAAATTGTTGCAAGGGCATGTGCGACCCCCAACCCGACGAGTCGCTCGGGGTGTAGTCACCGGACCCAAGCGTTCTTCTATCAGAACTTTGCCTCGATCCTCGTGCAAAGGACCCAGGCGATCGACTATCCTCACCTTGAATCGGGACAAATCTACACTATCACGGTGCTCCGTCAGAGGTGCGGAACTCAAAGGGATGGACGAAACATGTGCATGACGTATTCTGTCTTTGCCCTAGCGCGAGTCAGACTTGGGCGACCCGCGGGTTGGAGGGTCGGCTTTGGGTGACCCGCAAAGTGGGGGGTCGGATTTAAGTGACCCGCAAAGTGGAGGGTCGGATCCAAGTGACCCGCGATTTGGAGGGTCGGATCCAAGTGACCTGCGATTTGAAGGGTCGGATTCGGGTGACCTGCGAATTGGCGGGTCGGATCCAAGTGACCTGCGATTTGAAAGGTCGGATTCGGGTGACCTACGAATTGGCAGGTCGGATTGAAGTGACCTGCGCTTGGGAGGGTCGGACTCGAGTGATCCGCGAAGTGGAGGGTCGGATCCAAGTGACCCGTGATTTGGAGGGTCGGATTTGAGTGACCCGCTTTTCTCGATCTTTTCGGCCACCGTCTTGGATTTTGGCCTCCAAACTTTGTGCAGTTTCTGTGGCTTCTTTTCCACTTCTTGATCCGCTCCTCGAGAGTTGAACGGGTCTTTTTGACTTGTACCCATTCACTTGTTGATGATTTGGAGGAAATGGCATTTGTCCTCTGTTGGGGCACTTGACGTTGCCTAATTTTTAGATCCGCCTCGTAACGGATCCCGTCAATTGACTCCAAAGCCCTAACGAGTTGGGCCTAATTTTTAGATCCGCCTCGTAACGGATCCCGTCAATTGACTCCAAAGCCCTAACGAGTTGGCGCGTAAGGCGTTGGCACTGCCTTTGGCGAGCTCTCTTCGATAAAGTGGGCACGCCTTCTGTACTCAACTCCTTGATTGAGGAGGAGTTCAGATCTGCAGATCCGGACTCGTTGGAGGCCAGAAGGGTGTTGCAAGGTTCAGTTACCGCAGCAACGGGGCATTGATCTTCATTCACTTGCGAAAGGCGGAGGATCTGGAGGAGGAGGACGACAGATAGTCCTCGAACTTCAGTTGGTCGAACTCGTATTCGACCACTTCTTCAACCCGGATGCAGATCCGAGGTTGCGACACGACAGCTCCGACAGCGAAGCTGTTGGCTCCCACTGTGGTCGCCAGCTTGTTTGCGTCGAAAATTGTTGTATTCATTGCGGTATTCATTACAACTTTGGTCGTTACAATGAAAACAAAAAGATAGTCTTTTTATAAGACTTTTACATAATAAAAATAAAAAAATACAGTTCTCGTCAAACAAACGCAGAGATCGTTTATCGGTCTTCTGCTTGTGTGAGATCTTTACCTGTGCCGGGGTTTATCCGTGGACCGCCTTTGATCTGGATCCGGTTGATGGAAAATTAGGCAGAGCTTCACCTTCACCGAGGAAGTATTTGATTTGAAGCACTGAGATCGACCAAGCGAAATCAGTAGCTCTTCTCGAGATTAAGATAAAGCCTAATCTCAAGGAACGAACGTACGGGGCTTCGGATCCTTCGAATAGCTCCTTTTTTATGCCGAAGTTCGCCGGGATCTGATTTGCCTTCGCTAAAATTCGTACTTTTTGACTCCTTAATCCAGCAGCACCTCCACGTCTTGATAATAAATCTCCCTCGCTGAAAGGAGGACCCGAGCTCATATTTATAAGCTTCGGAAGCGGTTATTTGGATGAGAACAAGTGATTTGGCCTTATCTTCAAATAATAACGGCCTAACCATGTTTGTAGATGATATCAAGGCAGTTAAGAACCTCTGGAACAGATAAATCCCGTGAAAACCGCTTTAAAACCGCCAAAACGCGTTTTGGGCTCCGGACTGCGCGGCGAGGGTCAGACAGATCCGACCCGTGCTTGCGCGGGTCGGATCCAATCCGACCCGCGTTTGCGCGGGTCGGACAGTACTGTCCCGCGCTAGCGCGGGTCCGTCGCTTCTGCCGAACTTGTATGTTTCTTGACTTTTCCGATTTTCCGGGACTTGTATTTTCCCCCGTTTTGCGTGATTGATCATCTTGTTAATTTGTATGCTCCGCGCGAGTTGACCGATGCGCGCGAGTTTGACCGATGCGCACGATTTGACCGACGTGCGCGAGTTGATTGTTGGGCGCGCGTTTGATTGATGCGCGCGAGCTGATTGACGCGTGCGAGTGGATTGATTTGACGCACGTGAGCTAATTGACGCACACGAGCTGAATGATGCGTGCGTGCTAACTGACCGTTGGGCGCGTTTGGACGCTTTGAGTTGATTGACGCGTGCGGGCCACTTGACATTTTCCGTTGTGGTGGTTCGTTGTCGTGTCATCAACGGTTTGCCGATTCGCTTCATGCGCTTGTCGGCGTCGGATAATCCTCTTCGACTCGGATAATGACGTTCATCACCTTCTCTTTGTCTTGAGCTGTATTCGGGGACCTATAGGCAATTTTTGACGCCTACCCTCATGATTTAAAAACCAAATACTTATCGGCCTTGTCTCTCCTTTAAACAACATTATATTCACAAATTCTATGGGTCCATTTTTATTTATAATTAATTCAAATCTTCACACGTGTAATTAATAACACGGGGCAATTAAAATCCAAAGTAATAATTTCGGGAAATTGATTGATGATGAGGATCACAACCTCCTCACGCTAAGGCCAGAAAATGGACCCGAATGATTAAGGGAGGGATAACTCAAAACGAGGTACAAATTGGGGTTGCGGTCAATTTTCATGAAAGACCTCTTTTTTGGGACAGAGACAAGGACAGCTAGTATTACATAACTCAGCCCACAAAATTTGTCTAATCACTTGAAATTGCTCGAGAAAAGAGTGATATAAATATTATATGAGGACAAGCCCAATATTAGCCGTTATAAATTATTGAAACTTGATTAATTTGTTGAGATGCTAATTAAAAAAAAAGGGGATGCATCATGGCACAAGATTATTTATTGTTAAATCGATCTAGATCTCTGGAAGTTCACTATAGCAAGCAACTAGTCACCTTTTGGAATTGAAATATGTAAATAAACAAATGGTTAACAGATATAAATTAAAGGGCTAAAACATACAATGTTTTATCCTAAACAGTTAATAAAGACACTGTAGGTTGCAAATAAACAACTGGTTAATGAAATATCAAGTCTTGGACATTAATGACAGTGGAGGAACAGCGGAGCGAAGATTACCTTCTTTTTTGATTGAATTTCTTTTACTTTCCTTTTTTTTATGCATCCAAATTAATACACAATGAACAAAATAATTATGATTAATAATGCCCTTATTTTGTTGTAAACCTATTTTGTTATTCTTAAATCCATTCTTCTCTCGGACTTCTTTTCCCAGTTAATGGCAGTTTTACTTCTAAGAAAAATAATATAACAATTTATCTTCTTTACATTAATTTATATACATATGGAGTAATTGTTTACTTGCAACGATTGAGAGAAAAACATGGTATATACAGAACACATTCAAATAGAAGTAAGTATTTCACTCTAAGAGGTATTGAAACTATAAGGCTATCCAATTAAAAGCAATGATTAGTGGGAAATCTAGATTATATTGTATCGATGCCTACTATTTTCTTACCCAAAATTTTAAGCATTTTAATTTTTACAAATTAACTTTGACTTATATTACATATGCCAATCGTCATAGGAAATCACTGATAATATATACATATATATAGGATTCTTTGCATAATTTGTATAATAATCATTGTACAATGAAGAGATCTATGACAATGATCATCATGATCAAACCCTTGGAATTCTCTATGATAAGAGACTAATAAACAGTAAAAGGAATGGCTGCTAAGGTTTTGTTAGGTTACTGGCGTGTAGTCAATGGCTTGCTTCCGAAGGAATGGTTCTCACCTAATTAGTAACTAATAATCAGACTTTTGATTCCAAGGAAAACAAAACAAATAAGTAAACCATTTTAAAAAGATGACCTCCTTGTGTGCCTATGTTTTCTCATTGACTGCTGTTTACACCGCATGACACTTTCGGATTTTTCAAAGATTTTTGCTTAAGTGTCCAAGGACCCCGTCTTTTCCTTTAACTAAGTTTTCAATAATATATAAATGGAAAATAAAGCTTCCAAATTAATTCATCACACTGTCATTATCACACATCTATGTTTTTTTTGCTCAAGCCATCTCCTTCTAACTAATTTTCAAACTATATATAGGCTGCTTTTGTCAGATGTTTCACCTACAACTCTTCTATTTTTTCCTTCTTACTTGTAGTCCATAACAAGAAGCACTTATCCAAAAGAACTAATATATATGATGTGTATAACAAAAGTTTATTGAATAATTAACATCACACTTCACTCAATAGACTGATCCACGATCAGTCTATTTATCTCATCAAATATTAATATGAACACTGGATTTAACTTTTTGTACATAACAAATGGTTTTTTCTGTTCTAATTGGCTGCCACCTCTGATGCTAAAACTCTCTTCAAACTCAAGTGTAACAAATTCATCAATTCTTCAAACTGAAACTTTTACATCTATGCACAAATCCATGATCTCTTTATCCTTTTCATCTACAGGGTGTTGTTGTTTGACCACGATATCTGCCTGCAAAAGTCAATAAAATCCATGTAATTAATACTAAGAATGTAATTTTTTTAGTAAGAAACAATATCTGAAGATAATAGTGCTTACTCTAGGATATCTTTCCATCCAAAATCATCATCGTTGTTATGCCCTTCCCAGGCTTCAAACTGGGCCGAGCTCGAAGAGTTGGCCGAGACATCATTATTAGAATGCGACTGATCCTGCATTTTATCGGAAACAACATTTTCTGGTGATGCCGAGACTAATGAAGGAGTGGTCGAAGTCGCTGTCAAAACATTAGCGTAAGTATTGACACTCATTTGATCCTTGGATGCGTTTTCTTGCTCAGAATAACCTTGCAGATTATTGAAAACCATCGAATTATCGCTCAGATTTGAAAGATTCAATGGCGCTATCGGAGGAGTTGAATCCTGAGCGAGGGAGAGCGACCCGTTGAGGACAGCCTCCAGCTGGCGGTTGAGCTGCAAGAGATCACCAAACTGGTTGTTGTTTCCGAGGGACAGCGACGAGCCCAAGAGGCTCATCGGGTCTATACTCAGCGAGGAGTTTGATGTCATTAGTTGTTGGATGAGGCTCTGCATGATTTGGACCTTGGCTAATTGTGCTGCATCCGCCTGAATACGCAGCGCATTGTCCCACGACGGAGCTGCTAGGTTGCCAAGGTTGACGGCTGCAAGGAGGCTGGGGAGGTTGGAGAGGATGTCAAGATTGGTCCGGCGACGGTGAGTCACCGGATCAATCCCCATTAAAAGAAGCTTCTTCTTGAGATGTGTGTTCCAGTAGTTCTTAATCTCGTTGTCTGTTCGCCCTGATAGTCTGGTCGCTATTGCTGACCACCTACAAGCATGTAAAATATTAGTTGGTAATATGTGGGACTAGAGGCTAGATCATAGTAAACATCACGATAAATGTTATTGATAATAGTAATGTTAGGGTATTTGTGTTAGAATATAAAAATATAATCCTTAGTCCTCACTTTAACATATCAGAGTTTTTATGTAATGGTTAGATGAACTTAATTTGCATGTTAAACACCTTAATTAAAGCTTACACTATTTCTATCTTCGCTACCCGATTTTTATTTCTTTTGTACGTCCTCAAAGTTGAAAAAGAGTTCAACTTGGATGCCCCCATGATAGATAATTCTAGGGCACTAAAGTTAAATGTTCTTACACTTTGGGGTATGCTTTGAACAATAGAAACCTTGGGGTATCAAAAAAGTTAACAATGTAAACATTGGGCTATTTAATTAAGTGCAAATAACCCGTGGTATTATATATTGTGAGTAACCCAGTTCATTAATCTGTGCCGCTAGACTCTAGATCTCACTGAATTAATGTACAATATTTTTAGAAGAGAATTATCATTACTTGTTGCCAAGAACGGAGTGGAGGTGGATGATGAGCCTCTCTTCTTCCTCTGTAAACTTTCCTCTCTTTATATCGGGACGGAGATAATTAGTCCACCGGAGGCGACAGCTCTTCCCACAGCGATTCAGGTCGGCGTTCTTGGGGAGGTTCCTCCAGCTGCCATGGCCGTGTTCTTGTATGTACTCCACCAGCTTCTTGTCCTCCTCCGGCGTCCACGGCCCTTTCTTTACTCCAATCTCATCGCAACAAGGCGATCTTCCCATAATTGCCTTTTCTCTTTAATTATCTCAGCTTTTTGTTTAGAGGGGAAAGAGGAGGTACAAGAACAGGAGGTAGCTACCTAGGTTCTTTGGGGAAGCCAGTCGGATTTTGCTTTGATGTGGGGGTTTCAATTTATAGGAAGTTTAAGGTGGACCCTTGTTTAATTAATTTAGTACTATGCTCCCAATCATAATATTATCATATGTCCAAATTAGAGTGTAGGGGAAGTACAAGACTCACGTACCAAAATTCGCATGCAAATATATTATTAGTGTGTACATTACCCGAGTATTATTAGTTTAGAGGCTCATTAAGTCGATTTGAAAAGAGATTAATTAAGATAGTAAAGCTTAACAGTGGTTAGTCCCTTGTATTGAAAGCAACCCTTTAGGGCTCTTGGGTTTGAAGAGCAGGCACGTAAGCAAGAAAACTATGAAGGGTTAGGTCTTTTTTTGCCACGTGGCAAGCAGGCATACGGCTAAATGGAGCTTGTTCTGATAGAACAAGCAAAAGGGGAACCACTTCTCTCCTAATTTTCATCGATATTTTGGGTTTCTTTTGTGTCACACACTTACGGTTAGGGTTAGGGTTAGGGTTTAGAGATTTTGGGGCCAGGGCAAGCAAGTTGTCGTTTGTAATGAGGTGGGACCCATTGGACCCATGAGCTCAGGGTGCTGTTTTTTTTTCTTCCTCTCTCTCTTTCTTTTTAAAAAATATTATGAGATTATTTGATGTACAAGTTGGGGGTTGTCCCCATTAGAGAAGCAACATTATATAACAAGGGGGAGGAACTTCACTGGTCATATGGAGATTTTAGATTGTGGTAAGTTTGTCTATGACATGCGTATAGGGCCTAGCTAATGATACTTTAATTATACATTAATATTTAACTTATTTAAAAAATGATATATGCAATTAACTTTTGCTTGGTCGTGCAAGTTGGTTTTCTTGGTGATTATTTCACGTTCGTTGCTAAATTTTTTTAAAGAAATTTAACTAAAACATAAAAAGTACTTATACGTATTTTTTTTGAGAAAAATATGTCCATGCCCCAAAAGCAGAAACTTCATATGATGAAGCCATTTGTATTTTGGCTCATGTGGATAAGCCCCAAATACACAGTATTTGTGACGAGACCCCAAAGTATCGGATTTTAAAAAGAGCCCAGTGGAAGTTACGAACTTACCCCTTTGATGGGACTGAACTCGGTTACTGTGCCACTCCCTATTTATTCCCAATTTCTCCATCATTAATCTCATCTCTCTCTCTCTCACACACACACACACACACACACCCCCTCTATCTCTCAATTTCTCCTTCTCTCTCACTTCCGCCATTGCCACTGAAAATGATCAGGCCCTAGGGAGGCCATGGATGGCGAAGGCGAGGATAGTGGTCATGGAGTCAGAGATTGGGGACGTGATCAAGCCCGAGGGCTGGGTCGTCTGGGACAGGACCGACTTTCACCATACCTGCTATTATACCGAGGACAACAGCAGGGGGCCCAACGGCGACCTGCCGAGTGGGTCAAGAAGCACGAGCCCATGAACAAGAAGGATGCGTCCCTCTTCCTGATCGAGAACTGGCTGGGGGACATCACCTGGCTTAGGGACGTCAGGGCCAAGTTCATCGACGGCTTCGTCAAGAGCTAGTTAGTTTAATCAAATCGCTGCTAGGTTGTTAATTAAATGCTCGATTGGCTTGGACCCGCCGTGCATCAAGCACGTTAGGTTTTAATTTGTTACCTTGAACTTTTATTAATTGTTTTGTCATGATTTTTTTTTAAAACATTTTATTTGTAATTGTTTTTGAAAATTATAAATGAACAGTGAGGTGAATTCCTCTCCTCTTTTATCGTTGTTATTGCTATTTTATTATCAGTTCTTTCTTTAATTTGTTGTGAACGTGGCCAAAGCGTTTACTGAGACTAAGATCGTAAGGCAACAACATAAAACAATAATAGAAAAGAATTATGCGTGTTAGTTCTAACTCTTAGCTAGTGTTATTTCTAATATAAGCGTTGGTTCTAGTGCTATGTTAGTTCTAGTTGAGTCCCTGTTAGTTCTAGTGGTTTTCGTGTTAGTTCTAACTAATGTCATATTAGTTCTAACTTCCAGCTAGTGTTATTTCTAATATAAATATTAGTTCTAGTGGTATGTTAGTTCTAGTTGAGCCCCTGTTAGTTCTAGTGGTTCTCGTGTTAGTTCTAGCTGATATCATGTTAGTGTAACTTCCAGCTAGTGTTATTTTTAATATAAACATTAGTTCTAGTGGTATGTTAGTTCTAGTTGAGCTCCTGTTAGTTCTAGTTATTCTCGTGTTAGTTCTAGCTGATGTCATGTTAGTTCTTATTTCCAGCTAGTGCTATTTCTAATATAAGCATTAGTTCTAGTGATATGTTAGTTCTAGTTGAGCTCCTATTAGTTCTGGTGGTTCTGGTATTAGTTCTAGCTGATGTCATGTTGGTTCTACTTGCAGCTAGTGTTGGTTCTAATATAAGCATTAGTTCTAGTGGTTATGTTAGTTCTAGTTGAGTCCATATTAGTTCTAGTGGTTCTCGTGTTAGTTCTAGCTAATGTCATGTTGGTTTTAACTTCCAGCTAGTGTTATTTCTAATATAAGTGTTGGTTCTAGTTGAGCCCATGTTAGTTCTAGCTGATTTCATGTTGGTTCTACTTCTAGCTAGTGTTAGTTCTAATATAAACATTAGTTCTAGTGGTATGTTAGTTCTAGTGGAGTCCATATTAGTTTTGGTGGTTCTCATGTTAGTTCTAGTTGATGTCATGTTAGTTTTAACTTCCAGCTAATGTTGGTTCTAATATAAGCGTTAGTTCTAGTGATATGTTAGTTCTAGTTGAGTCTCTGTTAGTTCTGGTGGTTCTCGTGTTAGTTCTAGTTGCTGTCATGTTAGTTCTAACTTCCAGCTAGTGTTATTTCTAATATATTAAATGCTACTTTTGGGGCTGAATCACATAAGCCAAAATACAAAGGGCTGAGTCACATAGAGATCCTAATTTTGGGGCCCCGACACAAATTTCCCATTTTTTTTATAAAAAACAAGCATTATTCCCGTGCTTGCACATGTGGTTTTGATTTCTTTCATTTATATATCTGATTTTTTAAATTCTCTATGAGGGGTTAGTCACCTAAAATTTCAAATTGGAACAGGGATAATCTGTGGGATAAATTTTTAAGGTGTTAGTCACATAGAATTAAAACTAGAACAAACTTTTACAGTGTTAGTCAAGTAGAGCTCTAACAAAACTAGAATTGGGATAATGGTACAAAATTATCCTACTTTTTTTTTAATTTTTTTATACAAAAATAAGAGTTCTACTCTCTTAATTTATTCCAAGTTTCAGTTTGGAACTATGTGGTAAAAAACTAAAACTCATATTTATTTTGTTATTTTTTATTTTTTATATTTCTTTTTTTCTTTACTTCTTTCCTATTATGATTATCACCATCATTAGACCATTATTATAATAATAATTGTCAATATCTTATAGTCTAACCAAAAGTAAATAACATTCTTATAAGCAATTATCAATCAATAATAGTAAGCTTAAAATACATAAATAGTATTATATCTTCAAAATGCATAAATATATATTTCATGATTATAAAAATTTATCACACGTTATTTTATCAAAATATTCCACTTCATAAAATTATTCCACTTTAACAATTATCCCATTTTGCATGAAAATATCCCAATTGACTAACACCCCCATATGAGTTTGTTTTTTCTTGTTATGGTCTTGCTTCTAAAAATTGAATTATACTAGATTTCCTTTTTCATTGGATTGCTACTCCGTCAAAAGTAGATAACTTGGGTTAAAGTTTTTTAATAAAGGAAATATAAAATAAGGACGTGAATTGTAGGCATCGAAAATTGCCTATAGGTCTTCACGAACAGCTCAGTGTTAAGAAATGACGATGAACGTCATCATCTGGTTCACAGAAGCTTGATTGATGTCGGTGAACGCTTGAAATAAACCGACGAACTACGTGAAGCAATGGAGTTTCAGAATAACGAGACACGAACTGATCGGGAACCTCGTATCGTTCACAAACGACAAAATACCCTTTGTGTCTCATTTATTCCACGGATGATTTAATCATTGGAGCTTATAGAACTCCTCGTCGGCTTTCCAACGCACTTTGAATCACTCAAATCTGAGTTCGGACGAAGAATTTACGGCGGAAACGATCAAACAGACATAAAAATGTCTCAGGCTAAACTGAGACACCTAAGGTGTCTCGGCCAAGGCCGAGACACCCATGTTGGCCTTCTTGTTTTGATGATGTTTAACAAACAATTTATTACTAATGTTGTTTGTCTAGTGTTTGTGCATTCCTATGCTTTGTAGACAAACAACGTTGTTGGAGGATGGATGGAATAAAGCTTCAACGATGATATCCAATGGAGGTTGGTTGTTGGAGGATGGATGGAATAAAGCTTCAACGATGATATCCAATGGAGGTTGGCGGAATGTCGGGTTAAAGCCTATACAATTCAAGTTAAAGATCAAGTTTAAGCTTTATCCGCAAGTGTACCAAGTCAAGCTTATTTAAGATCAAGATTGCTTGGGTAATGTAGTTTTAGATTTTATATTATGTGTGTTTAATACGTTAAGCTCAATATCTATACACACACATTTTATTGGTTTCTTCGTATATATATATATATATAGTTATATATATATACATAAGTTTTGGTTTCTATATATATAGTTATATATATACATACATGTGTTTTGAGTTTTTATGATTATATATATGAAATTATATATTTCATATTTTCTATTGTGTTTTTGAAAACATTGCATAGAATATGCAATTTTGTGAAAATATTGTTTTATTAGTTTATAGACTTCAATATCAGTTCATACATGTTTTACTAAGTCTATAATATCATTTTGTAAAGTTTCAAGAGTTGGTTTAGCCAAAATGTCAAAATTCGCATGTTTACATTTTTGTGTGTTGAACTATTTTGCAAAATGATGATTTTTCACAAATGGGA